AATCTATTACCAAATCCTGTCTCTTTAATCTCAAAAAAAAAAAAAAAAAAAATCTCAAAACATACCCCTGTCCATCTCTCCCTTCTCATAATCTTGGTCAAGCCATCATCAGTCCTCATACGCTAATGTGATACATTTTTACCTTGCCCTCCTCAAATCCATTTTTCATATGGCATTCAAAGTAGGAGAGTTCTAAATTAAACTATTTAATCCTTTCCAAAAGCTTGCTTACCAGTGTACTTTTAGTATTCCATGTACTTTTTGCAATAAATGTCAAAAAATAAAATAAAAGTAATTAAATGAGAATACCAACCTTTATGAATCAAATAGAAAGTTAAACCTTGTAGCTTCCTCCCCAGTATTTTTATAAACACAAATTAAGAATTTGTGGTACTAGCAAAGCAGAACTGGATCCTAAAAATTTTACTCATCCACAAAGTTAGGCCACCTCATTTCATAAGAAACTTGACTCTGATTCTGTGTTAAATAAAGTTTCTCAGCCTTACACATACTGCTGGGTCACACAGACTATTACCAGATGTTACCAGTCTATAGATCAGAGGAGTCCCTTTCCAACACTGCACGTCCAAATCATTTAAACGAATCAACTAAACCATCCCTGCAACTTCCCCTGTATCTTCTTATAGGGCAACTATTTCCTGAAACTCATGTTCCCAGTGCTTAATTTATATTCTTCCATCAAATGTATATAAGCTATATAAAACCATTCTAAATGAAAACACACTATATAGAATGTTAATGCCATTTTGATTTTATCAACAAAATATAAGTATTAAACTAAGCTTTACCAGTTTAAAAGATTAATAATATAGCTCAACACAGCTCACAATTCAGGGATTTAAATGTTTTAGTGATATCAGCTACATGTGAAAATTATTTTGAACCACAATATATTAATTAGTAGAGAGCAGAGACTTTGGGGCCTTACTATGTAGATATGAATTCTGACTCCACTACATTACTCCTGTTTGATCTCCAGCAAGCTGAGTTATTTCACCTCTCTGTGCCCCTGTTTCCTCATCCATGAAAGAGACAAAATAACAATGACTAGCTCATGGGGTTTTTGCAAGAATTAAACTTAAATCTGCCTAGCATACAATGTGTTCAATAATATTAGCTAATAATACCAGAAATAATAATAATAGTAGTCTTTATTACTCAATTTCCTGACTTCCTCCCTTAAAAGCAGATAGTTATACAGACTATATTTGATATTCATAGATTCAGCATTTATAGTTTTGACTCTTTTTGTTGCAGCAACACAGAATTGTTGTGTGGTATGATATAGGTAGCTGGAGTTAGCAAGTGAACTTAGTAAACAAATTTCAATGCAGCTTTGTTGTTCCCTAATCTTGGCTGTGTATAGATTGTAACTCTTAAGAAGGTATAAACACTTTTGCTTCTTAAAAAAAATATGGCTTGGGGCCGGCCCGGTGGCGCACTGGATAGTGCGCCGCTTGGGAAGCGCGGCGGTGCTCC